TGCAGGAATCAGGGGAGAGAGGTGTGGGCTCGGGCGAGAAAGATGAGGGAGTTAAGAAGGGGCTTCTCCATCACAGAACAAAAGAGTTGGAAGGGGGCTTGGAGGGCACTGCCTCCTCTCATTTGGGAGAGCAGGAAAACAAGGCCCAGAGAAGTAGGTGAAATTCCTGTGGCTACACAGCAAACTGATGACAAAGTCAGGATTTGAACCCAGATATCCTATATCCTGAGGACTGTGTGATTTCAAATCGCTTTGAATTTCAAGACTTTGGACCTTTGTCTCATTCCCCCCAGTTGGACTTTGAGCTACCGAAAGAGCTGGGGATCAGGTGTGGAACCCCTCACATTTCTTTCATAGCACTTGGTAAGGTTTATTAATGAATGCTACTAGTGATTGATTATCATGACTGCTTGCAACCAGAAGCCGGCTTGAGGCTAGAAGCCCACCATTGGAAGAAGCTGTAGAGAGAGGGGACAGTAGAGGTGGTGGAATCTGTTGAGAAGTCTGGGGCAGACAGCCAAGCCAGGAGCCCCATTTGGGCTCTGGTGCTTGTTCTGATCCCAGAACAAACTTGCAAAATGACCTTGGTCAGTCCCTTCTCTGTGTGTCCATTTCCTCATCCACATGAGGCTGAATTTGGCGGTTCCTCTTTCAGTGTTGTGGACATCATTATGTGCAGGGCAACAAGGTGAGACTCTGCCCCCAATGCATACTCCCCTGCCCCAGGTAGGTGGTCCAGACCCCAGTGGTGAGAGTTGGTGCCTCTCAGGGTTTCAGTTTCCGCAGCATCGCCAGCACTCACTACCAATCTCAGGTCCAGGGTCTATCAGTTCCAGACAGGCCCCTGGCAAGGGCCTAGGAGACACCCAAGTTCAGCTCTGGTATTCCACAGTGACCTTATCCCCCACAGCGAAGCACCAGCCATTCTCAGAATGGATTCCAATAAAGCTCATTTTCTGCCACCAAGTTTATAACACATCCCCACCTACTGGTCTTAAACATTAACAAGGCTGTGTTGTGAATATGGCTGTGTGTGGCCAGAAGAAAGATGGGTGTGGGAGAGGGGAGACAAGCATCATCCCTCACGCCCGGCAGTAAGGGGGTCTCCCAAGGGCTGATGCTTACCCTGTCCTGCTGTGTTCCTCCTGCATCTCCAAAAGGGCTCAGGGCTTGGGCGATCGGGGATGGGGTGGGGTGTGTGGACACAACCCACAGGAGAAACTCAAGGTTGCTGGTCTGGGAATCATGGAGGTGAGGACACGTTTTGAGATAATGTATTCAGAATGACCCTGGACACTACATTTGTATCCTGTGAGACCATGTCATAGCATGTCACCTGAGACACTTGGATCTTGTATGTGCCCACTCAAGGGGCATGGCATGGGCCTGCTCCATCCTTTTGCTCTCTTTGTGGTATCTCTGCCTATCTCCTCCCCTGCCCCTCTTCTACCCTGTACCCCAGAGCTCCCTTTTCAACTCATGCTGGGAGGGTCCCTCAATGCAGAGTTGTTCTCCTGCCCCATCCATTTCTTCTGGGCACCTGCTATGTGTCAAACGCTGGAGAGCCATGCAAACACGTGGAAGACATGGTCCTGCCCTAAATGCAAGAACGTGGGGATCAGGAGGATTGCACAGGTAAGCATGCCCATGTATACCTCTCACACAGCAGCCTATGAGGAAGAAGTGCTAGAAAAATCGCATGAAGTACCAAAGAAGTTATGGAAAAAGTTCATTTATTTCTATCGGGGCATGGGGACTGCTGGTGAGAAGCTAGGGGGTAATCTAGGGAGGCTCCCTAGAGGAGGTGACATTTGAACTCAGCTTTGAAGGTTAAGTAAGAATTTCTGGAGGCAGAGTAATCCAGATGGAGGGGCTGGTGAGTGCAAAAGCAGAAAGGCAGGAAAGTGAGAAAAAGCAATACCTCACGGGGCACATAGAGGATGGCGAGAGGCCAGTATCACGGAAGTGAAGATGTGGATTGGGACAAGATCATGAAGGGTTTTGGAGGCCAGGGCAATGAGTGTACCCTTGATCCTAGAGGCCGTGGGGAGCCAGTAATGGTTCCTGAGTAGGGAGCTGACATAATCAACTCTCTAACAGATTTATCCACCACGCTGACCTCCAAACTCCTATTTGAACTAACGATGGGGCTGGGAGTCTCCCCAAAGATTAGATACAAGAAAGTGGTCTTCACAGATGTTCCCTGGAAGAAGCCTGGAGACTGGGAACAGTGTAGAGGTGCCCAGACACACCACTCTGCCTATCTCATGGGCTGAACTGGGCCCTGAAAAGGTAGTGGGGCTCCATTCACACATGGTCTCTGTCCAGGAGTCCTGGCAGAAACTGGGAAGGGGAGAGATGGACCAGAGACCATACTGCCTGTGGAAATGGGGAATGTGAGGGAGGCAGCCCAAGGTCACCCTGCCCGGTGGCACCAGAGTCAGAGTGAAACCCAGGCTACTTGGCTCTCAGTCTGGCCGTGTGGTCAGAACCCTGTGATCTCAGTTGCCTGCCAGGCACAGAAAACTGCAACTGTCCCTCTACCCCCAGTATTTTAGAAAAGCCCAGGAACCCCAACCAAGAGCCAGCTCAAAGGGAGACTAAGTCCCTGTATCCTATTCTTAACAGAGGGAAGGGTGGCTAGGTGGGCGTCAGGCAGCCCTGGAGGAGGAGGGCGGCCCAGAGGAGAGGGGGTTTTATTGTGGGGGGATTTTTATCATACTGGCCTTACCCACCTGGGGGATCTCCGAAGTTTTAAGTATCTGCTGGCACCCTTCTCTGAGGCAGGGGAGACTGAGACATGGGATGGAGAAGAGAGTTCAGGACTCAGGGAAGGAGCTTGGAAATGGAGCCATATAGTCAGGAGGGGAAACGTCTGCTCAGTGGGGCGATTCTGACCCTACCTCCTCAAATACCTTCTTTCTGCTCAGGCAGCCAAGCCCTCTGTCCTTATGTGTGCTGTCGCTGTGTTAGGCACTGGCTGTGTGGAGAGACAGGGAATAAGCCCATGGCTCTGCCTCCACCAATCCAGGGCTACTGGGGCACAGAGAGGGCACTGGTGCCTAAGGAAAAAAGGAGGCCAAGGCCAAGACCAAGGGAAGGCAGCCAGGACGCTAAGGCCCAGCTGGAACTGCGTCTTAGGAACAGGCAGGATTCTGGCAGCTGAGGAAGGGAAAGGGATCTTTAATTCCAGTCTCAGGGATCAGGAAGGTGGGCAGAGGGGCCCTAACGACAGAGTTTGAGCTGCCCATCAACAGCGTTTGAGGTGAGGCCGTGGTTGGGCTTTGGGAAGGGAATTCTGACAGCAAGATGTAAGAAGAGGGGAAGAAGTCACCTAGACTCAGGCCTGGGTTTCTGGGCTTCCTCCTACTGGGCAGGGAAACTCCCTGCCGGCCAGTGCTAGGTCACAAGTGCAGTCCACGCAGCTCCAGCGCGCAGACAGGCAGCCCACCTCCCTCTCCTCCAATCCCATTCTCAGCGTTACACACAGAGCCTAGAGATTTCCGGTTCCCCGCTATGCTCCCACTTCCCCTCATCTCACCCTCGTCCCTCTGCTGGCACGCTGCTCTGCCCATTCCTCCCATAAAAAACTGAGGTTAGCCGTCTCTGGTGAACTGAACGCACAACAATCCCCCTGGAGTCACCTCAGCCGGGAATAACCAAGCCACCCATAGAGGGAGGTCCTCTTGCTCCCCTCCCCCCTCCTAGCCCCAGGACCCTACCATTCCAAGAGCCCCTTCCTTTTCTTATTCTTTCAACCTTGAGAATGCGCTTTGGTCAGGGTGAAAGAGGCCGCTGGTTAGAGATCTTGGGCACACTCCTGGCGAGCTTGGGCAGGCTCTTAGGGACTGGGCAGATCTGGGCAAGAGCTGAGCCCGGCACATCCAGGGCGCTCCACCAATGCAGACAGCCCACTGCCCCCTCCATCTAAGCGCCCTCTATCCTGCCTGAGGCTCAGCCCTCAGCGTGGAGCACCGAAACACCCTCGCCCCCCAACCCTGCCACGCCTTGCTGGTTGAGAAAATGTATCCCAGGTCTGCTGGTTTCACGTTAGGAGGGAGCAGAGGGCCCCGCTTCTCCATCCTCCCCTCGGAGCTGTCTCCCTCCCACCTCGGTCTGCGCCCCTCGCCTCCTGGAGCGTTTCCAGCTTTCGGAAGGCCCGCTGCAGCCTCCTTCCGTCTGGTCTCAGTTCCCACTCTTGGGGGCTGTTCAAAGCCCCACTGCCCGCCACCCGTATGCCCGCTATCCCACCGCCAAAGCGCACCAACCCCTGTCCCTCCTTCTCCCACCCGCTTTACCGCGTTGCCCGGGGTGAGCCTGGGGAACAGACGCAACAGATTGCAGAATGCGAGAGCGCGGAGCCCGCTCCCTTCGCGCGCCGCCCGCGGCCCCGGCCTGTACCGGTGCCCAGACCCCCGCCCTCCGGGCTCGCCTAAGCCGGCCATTTAGATGCAGCTCACAGGACCGTGGGCGTGCGAGCCGCGGCGGCTGCCCGGCCCGGAGTCAGTCCACTTCCCTTCCCGAGGACCGCGGCAGGAAGCGAGGCGCCGGGCGGCGCGGCCCCGCACCGGCCTGCGCGCCCGGGGCGGGGAAAGACGCGATACCGGCGGATCCCAACAGCCCCCAGACTGGCTGGCCGCAGGGGGAGACTGGGGCGGGGGGCGGCCGGGACGCGATCGGGAGGATCTCTCGGATCCCTCTAGATTTCCGTGGGCGGACACGCCCCCAGACCCTCGGGTTCGAACCCTTCTTTATAACCCGGAGAGGACTGGAGCGACGCCCTCCCCCCACCCTTTCCTGGTGCCGGGCTCGGTCCCCTCAGCTGAGCTCGCCGGAGGACTCGGGGGCTGGTGGTAACTCGAGCTGCAGCCCGAGACGCCAAACCCGGAGTGGCGGCTGCGAGTCCAGGCGGTGTGGGTGCTCTTCTCCCCAGTCTTCCCCGTGCCCCCTCCGGTGGCGCCTGCCGCATCCTCACCCCGAGTCCGCGCCGCGACACTTACCGTGGGCGAGCAGCGCTGAGAGGCAGAGCAGGACGGCGCCGCCGCGGCCCGACATCCCCGGGGCCATGGCCGAGGCGGGGGCGGGAGGGGTCCGAGAGGGCAACAGTCGACGACGACTTGGCCCCAGGCTGGGCTTGGTCACATCCAACTCAGGGCGGCCGTGGCGCCCGGCTGTCTCAGATGCAGCTCCGGGGCCAGAGAGTGCAATTTGGGGACACTTTGCGGGGAGGGGGCGTCCCAGGCCCTGGCGGCTACACCCTCGGAGCCGATGGGGGCGCAGCTCCGGGCGGGAGGAGCCTCCACCTCCCCCAGCTGGTGCCCCCTGCAGGATCTGCGAGGCGCGGGGGGAGCCGCACGTGCAGTCCCGAGCCCGGTGGCCGCGGGCGTCCTGGAGGCTACCTAGAGCCCAGTGCTGAATCTCCCGGCCCCACGGCCCAGCTCGAATCCGAACTCACTCGAGGGTGCAGACTTCCAACGCAAGCCCCAGTTTCCTCGGTTTCGATAGTAACCCCACATGGATAGAGCCGCTGTCTTCCTCCAAGCCCCTGCAGCAGCCCAGCGTAAAAATCCCAGGTCAGGTGCAAATGAATGCTGTCTTTCTCAAAGAAAGAGAAAATCCAGGGAACTTTAATCCGTCTGGAGAAGGAAAAGTTTCCGTGCGGTGCTGAGACTGGCGACGCGGGTCGCCACCACCCTAGGCGACGCCCAGACCGGATGCCCGAGGCGGGCGGCCAGATGTTTGTCCCCTCTGCAAGCCTCGCTCCTCGGCTCCAGCGCGCTTTCTTCAGTCTGGATCAGGGCCCGGGTTCCACACAGGCCAGGTCAGCGCCTCCTGCCCAGGCAGCCGCTCGGCGGTTGGGGCAAGGGTGGCGCGGCCAGAACGGGCTGCCCCATGTAGATGGGGCTTAGAGAAGCGAAGGAGCGAGAAAGCCGGCTAATGGCCCTGCCCCGAGCCCTTCCCGCCTAGGGCGTCGACTCCAGCTTGATGACCATAGACGCTGTAAGATGCAGAGGGGCTCCGGCAGCTCGCGGCAGCTTCGGGCCACCCCGCTCTCCGCTCAGGTCTCGCTGTCTCAGCAGAGGGGCGCGCTGCCCCGCCTCGCTCCTCGCCTTGCCTGGGGGAACCTGCACAAACCTTGAACTTTTCTGGGGTTCAGAGTCTCCGACGCCTCCTTCTCCCTGCCGCCCTCGCCCTGCCCCCGGACGCCCGCTGGCCCGTCGTCTCGGTGCTGCCGGGCATCGGCTCCCGCTCTCTCCGAGTCAGTTTGGGCGAGCGGATCGCCGCGCCAGTCCGGGCTGCGGGCGGTGAGAGGCGGGCGCGGCGCCAGGGGCCAGGGCAGCCGGCACCCGCGCAGCCTGCGGCCAGGGAAGCGGCAGCTGGTGCCTACGGGGCCGCGAGGAGAGGAGGTGCCGGCAAAGGAGCCGGCTCCCCATGGACGTGTGTGGGGGGAGAAAAAGAATCGAGGAGCAAAAAGGAAGAGGAGGTGGGGGGAGCCACAGTTGCACGAAGCAGCAACCGCCGCTGTCGCCGCCTCCTCGGCGCTCTCGCCGGCTGCTCCGCCGTAAATGACTCGAGAGGGACAAACACACTCGCGCTCGCCCGCCCTCCTCCTCCGACCGGGATTCAGCGCCCACCCGAGCAGAAGCGGGCCCCGAGCTTGGCGCGCTCGCTCCCACCCCTCCCAGATTCCCCGTGGTCACGTGGGCCCGAAGCGCGCGGCCCACGGCTTGCGCGCCACGGAGACTCCCCCCACTCCTAGCTCCCCCTCCTCTGTCCACGTGTCCATTCCGCATTCCCAGCCTGGGGGCGCGCGCGGCTCCTTAATGAGACTCGGGCCAAGGGCCGACCTCGCGATTCCTCTCGCCCCTATTTTATGTTTGATTTTTCCTTCCCAACGCCGGCTAGCGCTGGGACCCGAATGGGGCCGGCCAGCTGCGGCAGCTGCGTTTCTCCAGGGTAGACGCCACCGCAGTCACTGATGTCCCTTTTCAAAGGATGCACGCTCCCCACCGGGCGCCGGAGGTGTTTTGCAGCCGCTCTGCCAGAGGCGCGGGTAGGGGGCACCCTACACCCATCCCCAGAGTCCGCTGGGCACAGGCTGGAAATCAGCCTCGCTGCTGTGCCCAGCTCCTCTCGGGCCGCGGGGGCTCTGGGACACAGCTTCGTGCGGGATGGGTCCGGGGCGCAGCTGTGGGAGACCTATTTATTCCGCTGCTGGGGAAGGAAGAGGGAGAAGAGGAGGGGACAGTGCTTTCCTACAGGTTGTTTAGCAAGCCTTTAAAGAGGCATGCAGTGGGGGTGGGGAACTGCCCCTCTTGCATACTCACCCAGGCACCTGCTGACTAGGGGCAGGGGTGGCTGGAGTGATATTTGTTCCCCTATCAGGCCCTCTCCATTAGAGTGCAACCTAGATCAGACCCGACAAGTCAACCTTCACCCGTCATCTGTCAACCAGGCATCGGATCCATGGCAGTGATTTTATAGCTTCATTGGGTATCAGCCCCAATCCCCAGAGGGTGCATTTCAATTCCACCCTACTCTGGGGGGACAGGGTCTTCAACCCCATGGGCATATCCCTACTGGGGAGGATATGGATCTTGAGGGTCACCCTTTTATACCTCTGCACTCAACTGGAGTGAGAGTGTGGGGCCAGATCAGAGCAAAGCCAGCTGGGGTGCTCAAACCCTACCCTCCATCTGCCTGACTCCATGCTAGCCCTCTTGACCCTGAGAGTTTCCTTTCATCCAGGACAGTGACATTTTGTTTTTGGAAAATGTGTTTGCATTTTTCCTGGAAGCCTTCCTCCTCCCTGGCTGCTGGCTGTTGCTGCCTCCCTTAGTACTGGGGCCTGTGGAGGGCTGCTCTGGCCCTTCCCCCACCCCCACATCTGTCTGGAGTTGGGGGAGGTGCAGCCTGGGGAGAGCTGGCCAGCTCTTGGAGGCCCTGAGGATAAAAGGTGCTGGAGTCGTCAAAGAAGATGATTCTCATTAGGCCCCTAATGCCTGATGGCAATTAATGTCGCCCAAGGGCTTATTCACCAACCCACTGAGAAGCAAGCTAGCAATCAGGCTCTGTGTGGGGGAGAAAGGGGAAAGATCCACCTCCTGAGGCAGGGGAGGGCTTTAGGAAGAGGAGGAAGGAAGCAGGGAGGGCCCTCCATCCCTGCCCAGCACCCTATCAGAAGGGACATGGAGCCTGAGCATGGCCAGAGGGAAGAGATGAGGTGCTTTACCGAGCCCAAGACACACCTCACTCTGTGTTGTGGATCAAATTTCCTTTCTCCTCAAATGTTCCCAGCTGACGCTGGGGTCTGAGGGGCAGCAATGCCACCCCTCTCCCAGCTGTCTGTGGAAACAGCATGGTGTTCTGGTCAGGGTGAGCAGGGACTCAGACATCGAATTCTTCTCTCTGCACCCCCATCTCACCCCACCCATAGCTCTTACGTGATAGGAAAATAGACCTTCCTTCGAGATTGTTTCTCCTCCTTCCTCCCTCCCTTCCTCTCTGTCTCTGTCCCTCCCTTTCACAATAGTACGGTGCGTATCTCCAACATCACAGTCATTGTAGGTACAACAGTGAGCAAAACAAAACTAACTCTTGTCCTCATGGAACTTACTGTCTAGAAGGGAAGGCAGACACTAAGCTTCTAATTGCCTGCAATTGTGGTGTGATTTGGCATCATGCACTTTGCCCATCTTATGGAGAAGACTGAGGCCTGTGGTTGGAAAGGGTGAGGGAGCAGTCTGCTCTCTTTAGAGAATGCAATTTCAGCCCCAGGTTCTTCCTGTACCTCTGATATGGAGCTATCCTTCCTGGATTGAAGCCGTCTGCCAAGTCAATGGGCCTGATGATCATCTGACTCTCCAAATGCCAGAATTTCCTCCTCCTTGCCTCAGGGAAGTGAAGGGCAGCCGATAGCCCACCTGAGGAATAAAATATGACTCCAACCTCTAGTGCTCCATGGACCTGTCATTCTCAGCAGTGTAAATCCTATGGCTCAGAGAGAAGGCAGTTGGCACAAGGTAGACAGCCAGTTGTTTCAGCTATTCCAATCCTGCATGTCATGTACCTGGAAAGGGGTTCTATACATTCCCTCTGCCTTTCCTACTACCCCAGCAGACTGTCCTCAGCCTTACCTATGAGTCCTAGTTATGGATTCCCAACCAGTAATGCCACTGGAGCCTAGATAAGGGGAAGTCAGAGGAGCCACCCCAACTGGAGCCCAGGCTGGAGAAAGGACCTGGCATGTGTGTACTCTTCCATCCCAGATGAGCACCTTATCAACTTAAGGTGGTAGTGTCTCTGCTGTTTCCATTCTATTTGTGTCTTTCTGGACAGAGGATTGGCAATGGTTGGAGGTTATCTCAGTCACCAGTTCCCAGGTGATGCCTGGAACAGCCCTGTCCTCCTGCCAAGGAATCAGGCAGCAAGCAGGGTTCTGTCCCAGGCCCCAGTGCCCTGCATGGATGCTTATCAAGGACCCATATATAAACTGACACCCACTTCCTCCCATGCCTGACCTGCCCTCATGATGGGCCAGGTGACATCTGTCCTTCAGCATGCCTCTGTTTTTCAGAATGCCTACCATCAGGAGACAATCAGACGAGCCAGTGTGGAGCATCATGAAGACACGTTCCTGGGATCACCCTGGAATCCTACTCTGTCTCAGCTCAAGGGGGTTCCGAGATTTCCTAAGCTAGCCCTCTCATTTTACAGCTGCAAAAATGGAGGCCTGTTAATTCAGTCATTTTATGAAATCCTGTGAAATTTTTATTGAGCTCTAATTGTGTGTGAAGCATTATGGAATGCTTCTGTACTGGAATGCATAGGTTGAACAAGACAGATAAGGCCCAGATGGCAGAAGTTTAAGAGCTTTCACAATCTACATAGAGAACCTAGAAATATTAATGGCTAATCTTAATGAGTATGTGCTTTTTATGTGCCAGTCACTGTGCCAGACATTTTGCATGCATTATCTGAGTCCTCACTACAACCCTGTTAAGTAGATACTGTTATTATTACCATTTTCCAGATGAGAAAACTGAGGCTCAGTGAAGGTAAGTTTCTTGCCTAGGGTCATAGAGCTAGAAAGTAGCAGAATCACAACTCAAAACCACATCTATGTGATTCCAAAGCTCAGGTACATAACCCATTTAGCCATTTCCACTGTGATAAGCGAGGGCCCAGGATTTCATATATGACAAAGCTGTCATTTCTGGGTGGACATGTTTATGGGCAGTGGGGTACCAGGCATAAATAGGCCATTCAACACGGGGAGGGCAGTGTGTGAAGGAGGCCAGCACAGGGGCCCTGAGAGCACAGGCACCTCTGATGAGAAGGTAGTGTGCTTTCTGCAGTACTGTTCTGAGCAGCTCACCCTCTTGTTCCCCTTCCCCAGTACCCAGATTCACACCTATATGCTGTTGGACTTTCACCCCATTTAGTACACAGTTATGCATACACATGGCTATTGTAGCAATTGTCCAGCCTTCACCATGCAGCTGGGCTGCTTTGCCTTCCCCTGCAGGCTGAGCTCCCAGCTCAGATTCCAGGACCAATAGCGAATGTCAGCAGTGAAGGGCAGGAGAATGTCAGCAGTGAAGGGCAGGAGAATGTCAGCAGTGAAGGGCAGCGTGGCACGATGGCCAGCACATGGTTTTGCCAAGCAGAGACCTGGGTTCCAGTCCTAGAAGGCAAGGCAACTGTATCAGTTTGCTCATGCTGCTGTAACAAAATACCACAGACTGAGTGGCTTAAATGACAGAAGTTTTTTTTCTCACCATTCTGGAGGCTGGAGTCCAAGATCATAGTGCTGGCAGGGTTGGTTTCCCCTTAGGACTCTTTCCTTGGCTAGAAGATGGACACCTTCTTGCTGTGTTTTCACATATGGTCATTTTTCTGTGTTCATGAATCATGGTTTATCTTCCTCTTGTTATAAGGACACTAGTCATATTGGATTCAGGCCCCATGAAAATGGTTTCATTTTAACTTACTCACCTCTTTTAAAGACCTTACCTCCAAAGATGGTTGCATTCTGAGTTACTTGGGGTTGGAACTTCAGCATATGAATTTTGGAGGTAGAAGATATATTTGAGAGTAAAAAGGGGTTCTGTTAACCCATTTATGCCTGAGGTTGCAATTTTTTGAAGTTTTGCAATTGGATTTTGGCAATGACCTGGAGCAGTAGGATATAAATAATTCCAACATGCTTAGCATTCCAATAATGGAACACTGGGCATAAATGGGCTAAAATTACTTTGGAGCAGCAGTCTTAAGTGGACCATTTAGGGCAAAATGGAACATAGGGACACCCTAACATTCTGGCCCCATCACTCATTCTACAGCCTTCTTCTTTTAAACCACCACACCTCTCTGAGTCTCAGTTTCTTCATCTGTTGAATGGAGATAATCATACCAACTCCCCCAAGCAGGCACTTTAAAAATACTAGTAAATGTATACTGATTACCTGACTGTACTGAGCACCACTGCATGCTCTGTGTAGGTTAACCATTGCTATTATTGAAACCAAACTGCTTAATAAGGTTTACAGGCCTATGTGATTTGACCCCTAGCTGCTTTTCCAAACTCATTTCTTCCCCATTTCCCCCTTCTATTTTCTTACACTGGAGCCACAAAGGCCACCCTGCAGTCATGTATCAAGCACATTCCTGCCTCAGGGCCTTTGTACCTGCTTTTCCCTCCACCTGGAATGCTTTTCCCCTAACCCCTTGCTCCTTTACTTAATTCAGGTTTTTGTCCAACTGCTACCTCCTTGGAGATACCTTCTGAGGTATACGATGAGTTAATACAAAATAATGCAACTATTGTTCTACCTCCATTGCTTTATTTTTTTACGCCACTTTAATTGGATTCATAGCAGTTGGTATTTTACTTTATAATATGCCTGTGTATCTGTCTCTTCCGACAGAATGTAAGCTCCCCAAGGGCCAAGATTCCATATGAACCATTCACCAATGTATCCCCAGTGCCCAGAATGGTGCCCAGTATATGTGCTCAACAAAATAAACTGACTAGATTATTTATCCATATTCACTGACTTCAGTAACTGGGTCTTTGATTTTACCCAGTCCCAATAAATGGGTCTTGGGTCTGTGTTCCCTAAGGACCCTGCCTGGCACCTCACTTCCGTGATCTTCCAGAGCCTGGGAGCCCACAGCCCACGCCCCTGATGCTTCTCTTGGCAGTCCCAACTCTTACTATGCCCTTTTACTTGCTGAGGCTGGAGTTCCTCCACCTGCCATGTCAGCCTCACCCTGAGTGGTAGGGTTTGGGCTGGGACCTCAGAGCCCTGATTCTTCCCACCACTTCCCACCCCTACCAAATCCTGCAGGACAGAGGCATCTGCATCTCCTACCATTCCCCAACGTGACTCCTCTGCTCCAGCCAGGCCAAGCCGAACTCCCTGCCACCACCATCATGAGGAATGCTCCTCTTCATGCCAGCCTCACTCTTCCCTCCCCACCTTCGTTCCTGCTCTACCCAGCTTCCTTTGTGCTCTTCTCCACCAATTAAAATCCTGCCCATCTTCACATTTCAGCTCAGGGGTCTTCTTTATGAAGTTCGCAGACACATTGCAAAATGGTTATATGGCCTCATGGAAAAAAGGAACAAACAGAGATTTTGGAATCAGGCAGAGTTCAAGTTCTGACCACATTTCCTTCTGTTTAGTTTCTCTCTGCACCTTGAGTGCCTAGTCATCACTACACAGTAAATCCCCCCTGCGATTGGGTCATGTTCTCATTAAGATTATTGCTCAGAATCCACCCCCTTGCTATTTTTGTAATTAAGAAACCCAAGGCCCAGAGAGAGCTAGTGACAGGCCCAAGTCCACACATCCAGTTACTGGCACAGACAGGAATATAACCCCATGTAAGGATATGCCTGGCTCCCTGCCCCACAGTGTGCCCATTCCCAAACTTTCACTGCCTGGCTCAGCCCTGTCTTGGACTTGGAAACCCATCTTTTCTTTCCTCGAGAGAATGAGGCTCCTTGGGTAATTATTTCAGGGATTTGTCCCTGATGCAGTGTGGATGCTGGACTGAACCAGACCTTGGACTCCAATTCTATCAGTTGCATTTATGTACTCATCTAGTCATTCAGCCTCACCTTGGACATTTCTTCTTCTCTGAAACCTTCCCTGACATTGCCCACACTCCCATCCCTATTCAGTTCACCTGTAAGGCCCTGCATCTCCCACATCTAAGCAGCTTTCAGATTGTGTTGATTTGCTTGTCTCCTCCCATAAAGGGGAGACCCAGGAAGGCAGGCACTATCTGCACTGACCCTTGTCATATGCCCCTTGCCTGATGTCTGTTGAGTATTCAGTTAATGGCTACTGACTAAGTGAATTATTAATCACCTACTGTGTGTTTGGAGATATGCTAGATGAACGAGATGGTCTCTGCCCTCAAGGAGTTTGCCACTGTGTGGGAGAGGGAAGTGGGCAGACACATAGGATTATGATGCCTAGTGGCAGTGGGTGCCCTGGAGGGAAGCCCAGGAGCCCTGGGGCTGGAATGAGGGGCATCTACTTCAGCCTAGGACATGAGTGCTGCAGGACATGGGAAAGCTTCTCGAAGGAGGTGACTTTGAGCTGCACTGAGGGAAGGATAAGCTGGTTTGGGGAAGTGGGGAGAAGAAAGAGAGGGAAGGAGGCTGCTGCAAGAACAGAAAACAACATTTTAAAGCCTGCATCCAGGGAGGACACACTGTGATCAGGAGAGAGTGAGTGTTTCTGCATGGCTGGGGCATTTGAGAGCTGGGGCGAAACTAGGAAAGGGGCTGGAGAGGAAGCAGGCCCATTGCCTCTGTGCCCAAAGATACCTGTCTGTGGTGATGTGCACGCTCGTGGTTACTATATTCAGTCATACAACTTCACACGTTTGGGACCAAAGAC